AAAGGTAAGGAGGCAAAACAACATATTAGTTTCCATGCCTATCCATCGTTTTAACAGCTGTTTATAAATTGTTAATACATTTTAAACAATTACTTTTGAATCTATTAACAAATATAAAGTAATTGATAAAAATTATATAGACTAAATAGTTGTTACTTTTGGGTTTATAATTCTTTGAAATTTTGTTTTATTCTATACTCTCTCTCTGTTTCGCTTCTTCCTCCGGCCTCTCCTCTCCTTTGTTGCCTGCCAGGTATCTTGCCCCTCTTCGCCTTTTTATTTCACGGTTCATTGTCACGTTACTATCATTTACATTGCTTTAGGATTATTCTCAATGTCTTACCCCGTCGGTTTTAGCTAATGTCTTCCCACATAACATTTCCGACAGTCGGAACGATATGCTGTTCAAGATTCTTGACCAAATGAACTAAGCAAGAGGAAACTTATTCAAATATTACATAAGATATTAATCAAACATTTATTAAGTAAACGAATCTGAACGTCTATACTATTTCAATGAATAATGACTAAAACAAAATAGGGGTAGATTGCCCGTTTCCTCCAACTCATCTCAAGGTGCTTGCAAGCCACCGGCTCTTTTCTCGAGTTTGAAACTTGCTCAAACATAGCATATCTCTGCTTCTGAGCTATTGCTATGCTTACTAATCAGAATGTTAGGTCATTTTATTTGACGAGTCTACGCTAATTAACAAAGCATCAAGATTTCTTCCAATTACGTACAAATCAAATTATGGGGATGTTTTTTATGTGCGAATTGTTTTGGAGCTTTAAATATTCAATGACACTCAAGGTTTCTATGAACACCACAAGATTAGGTAGAATGCTGTTTTGTTGCCCTCAAAGCAGCGAGGCATCAGGAATGAAAATGAAAATTTCCACGATATTCTCAATTTAAGACGAGGAATGACTTGCAAGATGGATGCATAAACTGTTTGTCCAATTCATCCATGTTACGGTTTCGCTGCAAAGTAACCAAATGTCATGCTTGATGCCGGACGCTTGAAAACTGACTCAAATCTGCTTTTAGTCACCTAATAGAAGCCAATGGCATACGAAGCTTCTCCTCGCGAAAGTTCCGGACGAAGAGGAGGCATGCGCTACAATGATGGATACCAGCGTGGGAGGTCACGAAACTTTGGGTAGGCTCACTCATATCTTGCCCTTTATGTCTTAACTTCGACTCTACTATTCTTTTCTTTTCAGACAGGGTGAGTATCGTGATGACCAATACACTGAAAAACGCGCCAGAGACTATGATGAAGCTCCTCGACCTAAACGCCCCCGGGATTATACGGTTGGTACTGATAGAGATCGAGAGAGATATGGTGGGCCTAGGTATGATGACCGGCACGGCGGTTCTCGTCGTGAGGATTATGGCGGAGTCGGCGAATATGATAGGAGGGAGGTTTATGACAGGTAAGTGGCTAGTTTGTATCTAACTATCTGCAACAGATACAACGGGGGAGGCCGTGGCTACAGCAGGGGTGGCTTCCGAAGTGGGCCCAGGAGAGGTGGGTTTTCAGATCGAGGCCCACCCAGACGCGATCGTACTCCTCCCGCGCCTAGTCGTGTTCTCGGAGTCTTCGGATTGTCAGCAAGAACTGAAGAGCGCGATCTTTACGAAGTTTTTTCTGAATTTGGCAGAGTTGATGATATCCAAATGGTTTATGACGCTCTCACCGGTAAGATGTGTAACTTAAACGTCTTCTATTTACTCTCGCTAACTATTTGCTTGCAGGTCGGTCCCGGGGTTTCGGCTTTATCTATTTTGAAGATATTGACTCTGCCATTGCTGCCCGAGAAGGCCTGTCTCGTGGTCTCGAATTACATGGGCGCATTGTTCGAATTGATTATAGCAAAACTGAAAGTGCTCATGCTCCCACTCCGGGAGTATTTATGGGAAAAGATAGAAGGTTTGTCTTATTTCATATTTTATTTTTGAAACAATCTGTCTTCGTTTAACCGTTTTCTTGTTTCGCTTCAAGGCGAGGTTCATATCTCCCACCTGGCAGGTTCAGTGGGCGCGGCTTCAATTCTCGGCCTCGTTATTATGGCGGCCGAGGAGGTCCTCCTCGTTCTGCGCGGGGTCCATACGGATCCAGATCTCGTTCTCGATCAAGAAGTCGATCTCCTCGCTCTGTGAGGTCATACTCAATGAGTCCCCCCCCTCGTGGCCGGCGTGTTAGTGCTCAGGGTGGATCAGGTAGCGCTGCAGCCCCGGCCCGCCCTAGAAACCGCACGCAGTCAAGCAGCCGCTCGCGAAGTCCTCCCGCTGCCTTGCCATCAGGCAGCTCGGCCAGGCGCAGAACCAACCATAGGGTTGATGATGGCTATGTCTACGCTGACGTCAATGGAAACAATGCTGGAGTTGGCTCCCTTGATGGTGATGGCAGAGTCGGGCGTCAGCGGGATGATTGGTCGGATGCCGGGAGCGCTTCATCGCTCGCATAACTTATGCTCATTGCTTTGTCGTTTCGTTTCGCCTTTGCAAGCTCTGATGTCCGTCTTGCTTGGGCGAATGCATTTATGACTATCATAAACCAATTTTTACCAAGCCTTTATTTTGTCTCATTGCGTCATGCCTAACTTGGACGTTGACTAAGTTCATTCCCTAGTTTGCTTTAGTGACAATGTGCATAGCTTATTCCCGCTCACTTTTTTTATTTCAAACCCAGTGAAGGCTAATTAAGTTTTAAAATCGGCGTTTCATATATGCCTACATCGTCCATGCATCTTCGAATTCCTATCCTTTACTTCGTACTCTCCCACGGGGGTTCTTGCCCAGACGGATTCTGCTCCGATATTTTCGAATCTCGAATGTAAGTAAGAGGAGAAGAAGCGTAATTTGCATAAGAATATAATTCCAGTAACATGCGGCCCTCCTACTTCCTATTTATTTTCGTCAGATGTTCGTCATGAGGTCTAGCCATGGCAGAGCCGGTTCCAGTTCTTACCCCGCTGCCACTTCGTGTATGTCCTTGGGCATCGCAGTCTTCGCTTGATTTGTCGCTTTTATAAGTCGTTATTGTCCTTACACTAGAGCATTGTTGTTGGTACTACTTTGAATGCGCTCTGGCGGGAGGCAGTGATAATGTACGTTTCGCGATGTCTCGTTAATGCTCCTGTTAGGTCGTCAGAAGGGTTGGGTTACCAGAAAAGCAGGAGGGGTATCCTGCCAGACAGTGTCAAATTCGGTCTTAATATCTGAGGCTTGTTGCAATCCAGTGCTTTCTGTGGCATTGGTTCATGGGGGGCTCAGCTACCGGTTTCTGAATTTTCCCTTAAGACCTTGTTCTCCATGGTCTTGCTTCTAAAATATCATCCTTTTCAACTCGGCTGAACTTATTCATCTCACCGATGCGAAGACCGAAGTGATAGCCATTATTAACAGTTTTGGCGATGGTTGAATGCGTGGCTCTTGCACGACAAATTTGGCTAGACTTCACCGTAAGGCCGGCCTCCTATTCGAATAACACAAGAAAAAAGTCATTTGAGCGACTAAACGCCTCTTCGTGATGGTCCTATGAGCAGGAGGCTGCTAGAGGTAATCAGTGGATATTAGGCAGAAAAAACGACGTTTGGAACAAAGACAACTACTCGTTAGCAATAGTAATTCCACGGGAACTCTGGAGAAGGCGATTCGGCTGTGAATCGCCAGTATCAGTTCACTCGTGATGCGCGGACTGGGTTATATCCATTATAGATGCTGGGTCGAATATAGTGCTGCCAGAAATAGAGACCCAGAGCGCTTGCTTGTGGCTGGACATTTACGCTTGTGTACCTTTGTGAGAGGTTGCTAGTGCTAATTCTGTTCAACTAATGTACATATGAGTAGCTGACTAGTTCCCTAGGCTTGGATGAGGTTAACAACTTAAGCAGCGTTGTCTGCTTTAGGCAATTCAGAAATGTATAATGGGAGTGGTAAATTTCTATGCCAGCGCTTCCAAATTATTCTGGACCCAGGGTCCTTAGGAATCATATGCGATGTTAGCGGTGATGAGTAAGGGTGCAGCTGGACGATGGGTATAGCTTATTGAGAGGAAGGTGCTTGGGCATGGTCATCATCAGCCCTTAATCCTCGAATATAACGTAAACGGGGGACGAAAATCGAAGGGTAATAGGCAGCCAAGATTTATATAGCTAGGCGGTGATTTCCCTTATAGTATTGGCCAAATGACAATGTGGAAGGGAAAAGAGGGTCGGAATAAACGCCAGAAGCCCGACAAATGGTGCCTAAAATCGGTGGTAAAAAGTAAGTATGCCCCACTGAATCCACTTGCAGTGACACATCTAGGCAATCATCAAGCAAATGATTGAGCGGGATTGTGTGAACAGATAAATGAGCTACATTAAGTTAGAGTGGGGGAATTGATACAGCATTACAGGCTGGGACAAAAAAATCGGGATGGGGAATGGCGCCATTACTGTCGAACCGAAAATTGGTCAAGGGGGTTTCTTTCACTTGTCATAGTTTTTAACTCTCTACCAATGATGATGCTCTTCACTGACGATGCCAGCCAAGCGTCTGTGAATGGGCCAAATCAGTCACCCGATGATGGAAATCATGGATTCTATGGTATAGTGCGCATGACTAGGTACGGTCCACAATGTCTGTCTGATGCTCCGACCAAGGAGGAGTCTATATATCTTACCAATCTTTTGGGAACTAAAAGTTATTCTTAAACTAGGCGAACTTGTCTAGCTACTCTCTAAAATGAGAGACAAGCATGATTCATGGCTAAACCTCGTGCTTGCCCATACGATTTACCATTATAGATGAAATATTCATTGAATTCGTCAATCTCATGGTTGACTGTTTATATGTTTTTCATCCTATAATCTCTGCCTTCTGGTGCAATGTTGATCTAAAAGCCTTTACTAATATAAATCGACACTACCGAAACCTTCAGGCAATTCTGTCTGTTTTATCACTTCCTCATTCATTAACTTAACAAAGTCAAGAGAATTCTCAATTGAAAACTACCAAACTTCTGCAGTTTGCCATAGTTCACCACTAATAGCTCGTGATAAGTTATGTATCACGCAATCCTTATTGTTCACAGTGGGCCAAGAGAAGTATCTTTTTTTGTAATTTTATACACACCATATGCATACATAGGCCTAGTTTCGCGTTGAAAAATACCTTGATTTTCCACTTGATTTTTCCGCTAACGTACTGGTGTGGAAAACACCTAAGGCTCGTATTCACTGTTTCTGTAAGATCCTTGGTTATAATTCTTTACGATTCAAAATCGACTAGAGCATGCCTAATTTTTCTAAACAAACTGTTATATCTATTACCACAAATACTCTTCTCTTTTCTACCATTAAGGCTATCTGTTTGATACTTTTTAACATACCTATTCTTATTTGCTATCTCTACATCATTAACAAATAGGGGTATAACGTCCAACTCGAAGACTTCCAATCTGCTCTACTAATCTATAGGTAAAATTTATGAGTCCTACCAAAATTTCTTCAGTATATTTATTACTATTTGGCAAAAGATAATCTACACAGCTAGGTAGGACCTCTTCCGTTGTAATACATAACGGTGTACCTGACAAGTTTATCATTTTCTGGTTTGCTCTTTGTAGATATGTAAAAAACTGCTTTTCGAAGATAAAAGTGTTATTTTGTTTTTAAATTGATACCATCTTTTCGGGATGCTTCGGACCCTCTTGCCAAATTTGGTTGCTATTGCATTTTGTGCTCATGCTGAAACGTATATGTGGGGGGTATCTGCTGGTCAATACATAAGAGGTTATCTGAAAATAAAACCGCCTGCAAAAGTTTTTGGATACAAAAATCAGACCTGGCCAAACACGATTCACACAGGTCTAAAAGATATGTAGACAAACTGGGTTTCGAAGAGTTGCTTAGTGATATATTGTGACATGACTTTCCATTTCGAAGAAAAATATGGTTGGAAAGAATTCGTGATATGGTCTCATTGGAAACTGAAGGAGGATTGCTCCGTAGCAAAAACTGTTGAATTGTGCAAAGAAGTCATCGGCTTATCGTACTGCGACCCCGATCAACATATACTAAGCGTTCGTCTGTACGCCTCCAAAAAGCTATTTTAATCCAGGCTTGATTGCAGTTTCAACCTCGCACTTAAAGCCAGATTCGAGTCGCCACAGTGTAGCATATAATCTAGACACGTTAACCAATACGCCACACTGCTATGAGTGCCATTGTGTCACAGGGCAAATGTGAATTTCAAATAAGGCCAGGCCTTTTCCCATATCACATTCTGTGGTGTTATTGTCGCTTAATCAAAGTTGTATTTGCTATAGCATTCAACTAGATTACTTATTTTTCATTTATAAATAGCTAGTTGATCGCTATAGCAAATATAACTCTGCGTCATCAACAATCCCACCACAGAAGGCCTGGCCTTCTTTGAAATCTACATCTGCCCTATGACCCAAGGGCGCTTGTTGCAATGCGGTGTAGTGGTTAACGTGTCGAGATTATTCGATGCACTATCGCACTTCGAGTCCCGCTGGGGTTGTTGATTAGGTCGAAACTTAAGTCAAGACCAGCAGAAATGTGAATACCTTTTATGAAGCAGGGCTAAGTGGAATTTAATGACGTCTTGAAGGACACGCTTATCATTGTTTGAAGATATAACTATCAGCTCTTCGTCACTGTTATACTTAGGGTGACTGAAACACTTATTCTATATTTACTGAGAGCCTAGAAAGTTACTTCCTATAAAAATGATGACTAGTTTCCCCTACATATGAGGCTGAAGTTTGGATACTAAAGATTGTACAAAGAAAGACTCCAGACTGGTTTCACAGCAGCGTCATGGAGTATATTTATTGCAAGTTGCTTCGATTCCGCCTGCTTCCAATTGTTCACATCCAGGTACTATAATATCTATTTCAGAGAATCTAATTTAATGGTAAACATACGCTTGCCTGTGGCTACAAATCTCCAAGATAATAATATAAACTGAGAAGTTCTTGCTTTGCATAAAATATCATGCCTTTGCTTTTACATAAACGTTTAAAATATGGGAAAAGGCCTGGACTTCCATGAATTTCATATCTGGCCTGCGACCAAGGGCACTCGTGGCAATGTGGCGTAGTGGTTAAAGTGTCGAGGTTATGCGCTGCACTGTTATTGTTCGACTACCGCTGGGAGTGTTGATAAGACCTAGGCGGAGTCGAAACTGCAGTCCACCCTGGATTAGAACACCTTTTGGGAAGGCAAGGCTCTACTCTTATCATTGTGGGAAAATTCAACTACTAGTCCTTCACCATCTGATACGAAAAGGGGTGAATACATTTCATAAGAACTTAAGTATCCCAGTATCGTTTAAGGTAATCTAAAGGTGTGATGATAGGTGAATTCTCCCACTGAAATTATTTGTCCCTTGGATTTCAATGAACCACACATTGCCTTGTCCCCGGAAAGGTTTGTTTATTTTCGTTTTTAGG